TTCACTTGGTCAATTTATCCATTACAGTGACTGTAGATAACTACTATTGTAGATTGTAAACCAATCACTAGTGGTGTATCTTATGCTCAAAAATAAACCTTTGTGTATTCAAGAAATATTTTCTTTCGCATTTAACAATGTCTTGTGTCTGTGGTTCCAGGGATTGTTGGGGAGAATGCTCCGCCCATCCCAGAGTCGAACATGGGCAACAGAATGCTGCAGAGTATGGGCTGGTCCCCTGGGATGGGCCTTGGTCCTGAAGGACGGGGTATGACTGAACCTGTACGGGCCACACAGAGACCTAAAGGCACAGGGCTGGGCTTCAACTGAACAGCTGCATGGTTCTAAACGGTTCTGAGGGTTCTGAAGATTCCACCTGAGACGTGACATGGGACATCTCAGGATACAAGACCGCCTCAGGGACATAAACTGTCAAGTTCAGATGAATCCAGGACTGAGACCACGTAGTAACTGATCTTTCCCATATTGGGGAACTTACAGAGTCTGAGTGACTAGGCTCTAACTAATGACAAAGATGTGTCATTGTTAGTGGGTTGTACTTGCACGCTGCCTCAGCACTTTGACCTTTAAAGCCTGCTCCTCGGCCAATGGTCAAAATGCCAATACAAAGAGTAGCGTCCCGCATGCACCAGGAAGAACTGTGCAGTTTGCCTGGTAAAGATAGGAGTAAATGATTTTGTATTGCACAATAATGTTAGATATCGGTAACAGAGTCAACAATACCTCAAGATATGGTTTTTAGATTATTTTTATTGTATTAATGTTAGGGTACATTGTCTGACTGAAATGTTTGTTTTATTGTTTATTTATGGAGCCATCATCTTCTGCATTGACTGTTTTTATCTGAATATTTTGGACTGTAACACAATTTAAACTGTACTGCAAACTGCTGACAAGCAGCATAATACTGAGCTTAGGCTAGAGGCTAGTGAAGTGGTTGTACTATTATCTTAGGGTTTAAAAGCGTAATATAACTTTACTACAGAAGTGCACAGACCTGTGCAAATGTGCCAACACTGTTGGAGCCACAGATCCAAACTGTTCTTTTCTTCTTGTTTTCAGACTGTACCATGGTGTGTTCATGTTATCTTAAAAATACACAACCAAATACTAATAGACAGAATATATTTGAAATATTTTAGCCAGACTATACCATCCTGAATGACATAGACTCTGAGAAGAAAGTATTAAACTCTTAAAGACTCTGTTTGTGCCATGTGTTATCTTTTTACTAACTTATGTTTTTTTCTTCCATAACTACATTTTTACTCATATTCAAGATGAATAATTTGGTTGCTTGAGCATTACACTTCACATCTCTAGTAATCTTTTTAAAATGTCGCAACCAGCCAAGCAATAGAAAAGTTAAAATTATTTCTAGTATTACATTTTATTGTCTTAGTATTTCATCACATATTCCACTGCAATAGGGCCTTGAGAGGATGATGCAAGTGCAGTTTTTATCAGTTCAGCTATCAATTACACCCAACATATTCATAATTTAAAACTGGTTTCAGAGTATACAATATAGTATAAAGGCATGCTGAATAAACACCTTTATTCTATTCCTGTAAATAGTACTAACTCTATCAACACCACCACATGCTGAGTCAACATTGCTGAAACACGATTCTCGCTCTTTTGCTTTCCTGGTTTTTGCAATAGATTCACTCTTGTATATCTATGGGAATTGAGGAGAGCCGTGTGTCCTCTGTTCCTCCTTTCCTTCCCTCCCTCTTTTTAAAAAGCTACACTGGTTTATTCAAATAACTGGCCACCTGAAATCCATCTATTCTCTCCCCCCAAGCCTTTTCTTATACTCTGTGGTTATACGCTTTCTCTGTGGGCTCCCCGGTGAGGCAGAGAGACAGGTGAACTCTGTGTGTGTCTGTGCGTGTGTGTGTTTGTGTGGGGCACGTGTGCGCTGCTGCTGCATCGCTGAACTGCACAGACTGGAGGAGGCGAAGGAGAGCGGAGCGTTTGTCCTTGAGAGTGACTGACTGCAGCTGGAGAGCAGAGGAGCCAGCCACAGACCAGCGCATGCAACCTACAGTGAGTATTATTATCAAGACAAATGTTCAAATCCTGTATAAAGTCAACTGAGGTGAAAAAAGAGAGATTTATTTTATTTAATTTTATTTTTTATAGCAGCAGTTGTTTAGTCTGCTTAGAAACAGTCCGGTGGTGTTTGAATGCATGTGGGCGCAGAGAAAGTCCAGACTTTTGTATATTCACGTGAACTCATCTCTAAACCATTTCTATTTAAAACTCTGCTTGTTTCTTAAACCTGTACGTATTTAAATTTCACAATAAAAAGAACTTAACATAACATCCTATTTTGCACTGCCCCTCCTTCTCTTGCTCTTTTCTCACTGCTTCTGTTGACGGATCGATACTTATGCATCTATAATTGGAAGTCATCATTTATGGCGAGTGGGCAAAGCGACTCATTATCATGTGTAATCTCGCAGAAAATTACATTTTGACTGGTGTACCTTGCCGTGGCCAGAAAATCACTGGACTGTGCGTGGCTGAATAACTAAAGCTGATCAGAAGGAGGGGTGTGAGCACAAGTGAGGGAGACAGCTGAGGTCATTAGGTTGTATTTTAGTTTTCAGTTTTAATGAAGAGTTAATGAGTTGAACCAGAAATTTGCTCTGTCAATTATCTGTAAAAGTTTGATTTCTCTAACAGATCTGAGACAAGACTGAACTAGTTCATATTGATTGGAGTGGCTGTCTGTGAGTTATGACTGTGTCTAGTCACCTGTAGAGAGGTAAAATCCATTACATCAGTGTTATTCAAAGTGTGTTACATAGGTGACTATGGTATGGTATTACTCTATGGTATTATGGTATTATTATGGTATTGTAATTTAGAATAGATTAGAGCTTTTAAAACCATCTATCTCTCTCTAATCTACACCATGTATCACCACATTTTAAATTTACGTTTAGTTTTAGTTTAAACCTAGTTTGTTACAATTCTTGGTATTGGCGGGTTTCCGATCAAAAAACAGTTTTAACTATTAATTATGTTGTACTCTCTTTAGAAATACGTAACACAAATGATGAATAATGATGATCCTCCTAGTTCACTTAATTTGATGGTACCATACAAGCCAAATGTTTAGGTTTATTAGGTTTATTTTGGTATACCTACTGTGCATGTGACTGTAAGTCGATTTAAGCAGACTGAAAAAGGAAGCATATAGGGCTTTTAGTGAGCATGGAGGCTGATTTGTTTAGAGTAGACATGCTGACATTTCGCCAAAGGGTCCAAATTTGCCACCTGTGGAGATTGAGATGATATGATGAGATAGACGCTGTGTGTGTTTTAATAGCTCCTGAATCAGCTGCTGACTCCCATGATTCCTTGTGTGCGTTGGACCCGCAGCCCTCCACACGAGAACGGGGAACCGGTTTGAGCTCGGTTTGAGCCCAGTTTGAGCAAGTGGGTGAAATGGGTGAATCACTTCATTACTGTTGAGTGGAGTGAAGCTTTGAAGACACCTGTCAAGTGTAAGAACCTAGCACTTTCTGAGCTTCATTGAGCAAAACACCTTTTCAGCAAATTGTGAATAAAATCATCTAAAAAGATCAGGACTGAGCTACCAAGGCAAATATATATGTTTGGTAATTATTACATTTTTTTCACAGTATTTAAAGGTAGGATATGTAAAATATATATAATATTTTACAAACATGATCTGTAAACATGTTTAAATTAAATATAGATTTTTATGGATTTTTCATCAGGTAGAAATTTAGGAATTAACTAAACTTTTACTTTTTTATGTATATATTTTATATTTTTGTATCTACCTCAAGGGCAGGAGTAAATTACTTTACTTTGACTACACAGCACTTACCATTTGTAGTGCTGTTTTTGGCGGCATCTGGTGTTGAGAAAGAGGATTGCATTTTCCCACAAACCTATATATTGTGTTCTTGAGCCCATGCTTGCTGTATTTGGTTGTTCAATAGTTTAATATAAAAAATGACCTCAACTTGCCCACCATAATAATAATTAAGAAAGGTTCATTTTTTGGAGTATTAATATACCAGTTCGTACTTAACCCATTGCTAAAAAAAAAAGAAACATTTAAATTTGGCACTAGAGGATTAATTGTCATGTAAATCAACCTTTTAATAATATCTATTTTATTGCCTGAAAAGATGCATCTATTGCAGGATTGTCCAAACTATAGTCTGGGGGCCAAATGCCCTCAGACCAATTTTTGTTGGCCTTC